CTGGAAAGAGACCCAGAGCAACCACCAGCACATAGACCAGGGAATCAACACCCTGCAAGAGCGTATTGCAGAGCTGGAACAGAGTAAGGAGGAAGGTTTGGTCAAACTCAAGGGAAAGGGGATGAAATGGTCGCTTCATTTTCAACTCACTCTCTCGATCTTTACTTCCCAGGTCTTACAGATTACAGTTACCCACAAGGGTATAAACTTTCCTTCCCTGTGCGGACTAACTACATGTACGGGCTTGTCCGGCGGAATATTCCAGAGATGTACGCCTTCACGGCATGTCTGTGGCTCAAGCCTGCTGAGAGTGGAATTGGGACGCCATTTTCCTATGCTGTACCGGAACAACCCAATGAACTTGTCCTGTTGCAGGGCATTCATAATCCAGCAGAACTACTCATCAATGATAAGGTAAGACCTACTACACCAAGGCTTCTCAAATCTGGGCCTAGAAGGCCACTGCTCTGCAGAGTTTAGCTCTAACCTGAGTCAACGTCACCTGAGCAAGCTAATCAAGGTCTACTTGAGTTACTACAAAATGATTGGTAGTGTTTGAGCTAAACTCTGCAGAGCAGTGGCCCTCCATGTCCAGATTTGAGGAACCCTGCACTAAATCTTCCCTTCACAGCAACCTTGTGCAATACAGCTGATGGACTCAACCCTTCCTTCCATTTACAGGTGGCACAGCTGCCTCTATCTTTGCCCCAGGACATCTGGCAGCACATATGTGTGAGTTGGACCCTACGGGATGGAGTTTGGAAAGCATATCAAGGTGGAAAGTTGAGAGGACGGGGTGAAGGTTTGTCCGCATGGCACCCAATCAAATCCGGGGGCGTCTTGGTGTTGGGACAGGAACAGGTAAGCAAGACAGTGAATCATTGAAGAGTCTGAATACACCCTCAAAGGTACACCTTCACTCTTGGGAAAAAAATGTGCAAAAATTGTACCTTCAGTTGTGCAAAAGCTTGTCACTGGGGCAGTATCCTCAACAGGACATCTTTGCACCTTATTTAGCCCTAAAAGATTCATGGTAGTGCCATAAAGCTACATATTTCTACTCTAATATGCACCTTTTAGGGGTAGATAAAGTACAAAGTTGTTCTTTAAAGGTAAGTGCCTCAGTTTTTGCACAGTTTTTCCTGACAATGTTTGCATCCTTCAAGGGTTGTTAAGGTACAAAGGTATACCTTTGAGGGTCCTACCCCAGTGACAAGGTTTTGGACCCTTAATGGTACCATTTTGGCACAGTATTTCTGATGCAACATAATGTTTATCCATGTGTAACCCTTCCGCTCTCCTTGGCTCCTCTGCAGGATACCCTTGGTGGGCGGTTTGATGCATCCCAGGCTCTTGTTGGGGAGCTTTCATTATTTAACCTGTGGGACCGGGTGTTATCGCCAACAGAGGTTGCTGCTTTGGCGGCATGTGCAGACCACTTGGGGTTGGGGAACATAGTGCCCTGGACGGACCGAGATGTGGACGTGTTTGGAGGGGCCGTCAAGGACCCTGTGGACCCCTGCCTTCAGAGCTCCCATCCCCGGCAGTGAGCAGGGCCATGGGTTGATACCTTTCTTTTTTTGAGGCGAGGGTAAATGAGACAAAAATGGCCTGAGAGGTATGACAACTGTGCTGTGGTCCTGGTCTGTGTATAGAATATATTTACCGTAGAGCTACACTCTCACTGAGTGTTTGTTTCTGCAGGGAAGGGATTTGTCTGTGTGTGTGGTTGTGTCACTTCGGATAGAGCTGCTGCCGAAGGCTTTTAAAGGCCTGTTTGCGTCTCGTGTTGCTTGTGTTATTTCATACCCTTCTTCTCAAAGCATTACCGCACAATGGTCCCTTCAGATATAGAGAATGTTTTTGTAATACGATGGATGTGGCTCATTCTCACAGCACTTGTCTTGCTCTTGTTTCATTATTTGTGTCAAGTGGAGCTTTCGCTTTTTTCCCAGAGCAGCTTTTTCATTTCTTGTTTTTATTACCGATCCCTTAGGGTCACTTCACTTGTTATTTCAGTCCGGCAGCACTTAAAGGTGTATAACGTCTTATCTTTATTATAACATGTTTAAAATGTTTGTCTTTTGGCATCTGGTCAAATGGGTCTTTACCCTGCTGTGTATCTTTTCTCACAGATTCAGCAAGATCCCAAAAAATTTTTAAACCAAAATGTGTTATTTCAAGCTTAATATCTTAAACATCAGACTAAATTTTGAAGATCTGATGTGCAGCCCACACACTATGAAAATATGAATGTAAAACAGTGTTTAGCATCTTGTCGTGTTACCATTGCACTGCATCTAGCCCTACTTGCCCTTTCACAGAGAAAATCTTATGGAGAAGTGCCTGTCTGTTTATTTGACTCTTGCTATTGGTTGATGATCAGCTGTGATGTCAGTATAGTGCTTCTTCATATTTGCACCACCAAGGATCTACAATGATATTGTGACAAATGTGGATGAAAATATTAAAACTGTGAAGAAAATGAACTATGAGAGTGCATTGTCTTGTTTACTTATCTATATCTATCGGTCGGTCGGTCGGTCGGTCGGTCGGTCGGTCTGTCTGTCTGTCTGTCTGTCTATCTATCTTCATGCAAATCCTGGTTATTGTCATTCTCATCCTCTCATTGCTCTCTTCACGCTGTTGCTGCTGCTGTTGAATTATAGATGAGTGTTAATGACCCCCTCCATCACACTGACCCCTGCTGCTTCTCTCACACCAGTAACATCCTCTGTGTGTGTGTGTGTGTGTGTGTGTGTATTTCCTCTTATATACAGTCTCTGTATTTGCCATTTGAATTCATTTAAATCTTTGCAATACTGAAAAATGTAATAATCATACGCCAGCTGGGTATCCTTCATATATCCTTCCCACAATCACATAAAAATAATATCATGACATGGCTGCCTTTATTCCTCACAGCACTTGTTTGACACATTCATAAAGAAACACTTTTCTTGGTTGTAATGCTCTGTAAGTGTCATTATGTTCCAGACTGCCGCAAGCCTCCTCTCTTTTCTTCTCCTCCTAAGGTACCATTCTTGCTCAAATCAGTGGTTAGATTCTCCCCTCCCCCTGCTTTTATTTGTAAATCTATCTAGAAACTGAAAATCCCCTATAATCCACAAATCAAAACAGGGTCTGTCTGAGAAACTCATGAAAAGAGTTTAGAGTCTCAAAATCAGCACCATCCAATGCATTACATACTGTAACCTACAAATGGCTATAATGCTCTCCCTGAATATTAAATTGGGATGTATGAGAAAATATTTAGCTGTATTGCAGTGTTGTAAAGGGTATCCTGTTAACATTTAAAGGGATTGGTCATCCAAAAATGAAAATTCTGTCATATCACCCTCAAGTTATTTCAAACCTGTATGAGTTTCCTTCTTCTGTTGAACATAAAGGAAGATATTTTGAAGAGTGTTAGTACCCAAACAGTTGCTGGTAGCCGTTGACTTCCATAGTGTGGATTAAAACAAATACTAAGTCAATGGCAACCAGCACTGTTTGGTTATACTCAGAGCAGCATTGTATCTTGCTGACAGCTCTCAGATCAGTGTGACAGTTATTTGGGGCACACTCGCCAGCTGTGCACAGATGTATCTAGAGCTTAGTAGGGTCAGTAAAAAGCAAGAGAGTAAACAACACAGATGAATGTAGTGGGACCAATGCAGCATCTAGATAGCAGGCTTCACCCTGCTCAGACCGCAGTAAGGTTACATGGGGATAAAACACAGCTGGTGTCTGTGCTCATAAAATACTGAGCTTAAAGAGATACCAAAAATGGCAATTCTGTCAACATTTACTCGTTGTGTGGTTAGAAGCTTTGTCAGTATTCAGCTCAAAGTTTTGGAATGACATCAAAGCAAGTAAATGAGAACAGAATATTCATTTTCGGTGAATTATTATTATTATTATTATTATTTATTTAAAAAAAGACCAATAAGACATGACTTGCAGTCCATCAATTAATGTCTTGTGAAGCAAAAGCTGTGTCTATTTTTTACTTGTAAATGGTGCTTGATCTGTGCATATTTCTCTCCTGATTCAGAAGAGATAACTTTTCACTGGAGAAAGCAACATTAATAGCCTAAGATGCCTATAGATAGTTTAGCAGAAAGTAATAGTTTTGAAGTTAAAAATGTCTTGATGGATTTGTTTCTTACAAACATGCAGCTCACTTCACAAGGTGTTAATTGATGGACTGGAGTCATACTTATGGATTATTGTGATGTTTTTTTCAGCTGTTTGGACTTTCATTCTGACGGCACCCATTCACTGCAGAGGATTCATTAGTGAGCAAGTTATGTGCTAAATTTCTCCAAATCTGTTCAGATTAAGAAATAAACTCATATAGCTAGGCTACATCTGGGATATCCTCAATTTTCAGTAAATTTTCATTTTTGGGTGAACTACTCGTTTAAGGATACTTCTTAAATTTGCCTTTTTCAATTATCTGTCCTCATAAATGAAGAATTTCTCCAAATCTGTTCAGATTAAGAAATAAACTCATATAGGCTAGCTAGGCTACATCTTGGATATCCTCAATTTTCAGTAAATTTTCATTTTTGGGTGAACTACTCGTTTAAGGATACTTCTTAAATTTGCCTTTTTCAATGATCTGTCCTCATAAATGAAGAAGACCAGAAAAAAATCTTGCTAATTTACCATAGAAATTCACTAGACACATGGCGGTGCATGACGTTTTCTTGAACGAACGAATGAACGACACGCCCACGGACCAATCACGACAAGCGACGCGTTACTAGGGGCGGGGTTACGCACACAGCTGTCGCTCAGGAGTGGTTGCCATGGTGGACATGTCTCTCTAGCGATGTCGGTTTAAGCGCATTGAACTTCAGTTTTCTTTTATTACGGTACGTACATTTTTCTTAATACTTTCCAAGCTAGTTTATATGCAACGTTAAACACCTAGGTAGATAATATAATGCTTATGGAAATAAAAACGAGTGACCTAGCCATACAAATTAGCTAAGCAAGCTAGCAAGCTAGCAGTTTTCCTTATAAGTTGCTGTTCGCTTTCCAAAACAAAGCTAATAATCGCTTCATAAGCATGCAGGACTATTACTAACTATTCTAAAATATGTTTATATGACATTTACTTCAACAAAAAGTACTATGGCATTAGCATTGTTGTTTGGACATTGAAGCAAGGTAATGTCATGTTATTGAAACTTACAATTGAAATGTCTTTGTATTCTTTTAAGTAACTTTGCTGTACTATGGTATATCAAAGTATCACGGTATTACTGATACCACAGTTTCAAAAGCTATTAAATTAATATCCATCTTAGATTTATTAGATATGATTTCTTATATCTTAAATATGTCCATTTATTCTCATCTAGAGCTAAACATCATGGCAGAGACCGTCGATGGCAAGAAGGATGAGGCAGACTACAAGAGACTACACAGCTTTCCTCTCATAAGGGTAAAAACTGTTGCCAGATTGGATGGATGATTTCCAGACCAAAAGCTCACAAAAACCCGCCCAAAAACCGCCCAAAACTTTAACTGTCAAAATAATGCTATAGAATATGTACATCAAGGTGGATAAGGGCCATTTTAACTCCTTAAAACAAAATATTGACGACAAAATAATATAAATTATAAATAAGATAAATTTAGCAGGAAAATGGATCAAATCGGGGCGAATGGCCTACATTAAATAGAATTAGGCTACCGAACATGAATAAAATATGCAAGCAGACACTGTCAAAACGGCAATCATGAAATTAACAGATACCTTCGAAACAACACATGCATGATTTTCAATGTCAGTAGTCAGAATAATCCAGTTTAAATGCAAAAAGTGCCCAATATAAGTGATAGGAAAAAGCAACGTAATTAGCAGGTATTTCACACTCGTTCATGCGCACACCATGACAATCAACTCAGAACTGGGTCATTCATAACTTATCACGCTAAAAACTTGTCACTCATGAATCATAACGTCTGTCTGCTGAGCCCTCGTGATAAGTGTGGCTGTAGACGTTTACATTAGCACCAGCGCCTCTGCCCCGCCCAAGCCAATTTTTACCCGCACAATCAAATTCAAAACCGCCCAATCTGGCAACACTGGTTGCGTGAATGGACTTCTTCAATCTTCACTGATTACAAATTATAAACAGTATTGTGACAAGCAAAACAAAAAAGGGTGGAAAAGCACGTTTTCTTAGTGCTTTCCTGAACTTAAACAGTCGAGCATGGCATTGTAACACCAAAAATCATTGGTTTGTTACATGAACTTATAAAAATGTACATCTTCAACAGTCTTTATTTCTTTGGAGAAAAAAAAGTGACTGTCAGATGCATAAAGAAGGTAACTGAGAAATAACTGACGTAAGAAAATACACAATTTGTTTTTATTTTGGGCCTGTGCAGCTGCCTTTAACCATGAAATATTGGTCAAAATGACTCATAAACATCTCAGTCATAATATAAATTCTGATAATGCAAAGTTTCACAGCTCAAAATGAGTCTAAAAGTTACAAAGCTTAAAGAAAAACAAAAAAAATCTATGCGGGTCAAATTGACCCGAAACATATGAAGAGTGCCATCCAACATTTTCTGCTAAAATGATAATTTTCTCATGCTCCTATATGTTTATGTTCAGTTATTTTACTTTAATGGGAAAGAAAAGAAACTATTTATTGCCATTAAAGTGAAATTACTGAACCTACACATGGGAGCCTGATAAAAAAATGCTCATTTTAGAAGAAAATTTCAAACGGCACTTAGAGGCTTTTGCATCTGAACTCTTCATATATTTCCTCTACAGCACACAGATATGTCTGAGGAGATGCGGGTGGAGGCCATGGAGCTCTGCGTTACGGCGTGCGAGAAGTTTGTCACTAATAATGAGGTTAGTTCTCATTGCCATCTAGGAGAAGCAGATGAGATGTTAATGAGGTCTCCTTTGTGATTGTTCATTCCTTTGGGTGGCTCTTTCTCAACAGAGTGCCGCCAAAATGATAAAGGAGTCTATGGATAAGAAGTTTGGGAGCTCTTGGCATGTGGTGATTGGTGAGGGCTTCGGTTTTGAAATTACACACGAAGTGAAGAACCTGCTTTACATGTTCTTCGGTGGAGGTTTGGCGGTGTGCGTATGGAAGTGTTCCTAACACTAAATGACTGTCTGACAAACACTTTTTCATGTGCTTTCTGACTTTATATTCAGGGTGCATCATTTCTTACGGTTTATTTTGAATGAAGCGTTTTATGTTTTCTTCTCTGTTTTAACTGTTCTCTCAAAGCTGACAGGCCATCTGTTGGTTTTATTGTCCATCTCTGTCACTCTTTCTCCATCTGTGTTCTATCTGTACATCCTCAGTTGCTTATGATAATTTCCATTCCTTTCATTTTTTCTGAAGGACAAAGTATTTTTATAAGACAAATCCTATTTTTTAATTAATATGTGAATACATATGATCTGTTTTTAAAACTTTAGATATTTTATAGGAGTTGTACATTTTGCACAGCTGTAATGTGCATTTGTTTTATTATTAATAACTATTGTTATGGTCTTGTGTAATAAAACCTCATTAGAAATGAAACTCTTTTGCACCTGCTATACGTAATTTGAAGTGACAGAAAAATTGATTTAAAAAACAGACACTTAACGGAACAGTTCACCCAATAATTTACTCATCCTCGGGTCATCCAAGATGTAGATGAGTTTGTTTCTTCATGGGAACAGATTTGGAGAAATGTAGCATTCCATCACTTGCTCACCAGTGGATGCTCTGCAGTGAATGGGTGCCGTCAGAACGAGAGTCCAAACAGCTGATAAAAACATCACTGTAATCCAGTCCATCAATTAACATCTTGTGAAGTGTCCTCTTTCGTAATATTGCTTTCTTAAAAGGGACTCAGTTCATGGTCATCACTTGTTAGATGGCTGTGATGCTTTTATCGGCTGTTTGGACTCTCGTTCTGATGAAAGATGTATACTTTTACGTGAGCTTTCAGTGGAGAAAAATGCCTTTATCCTTAGAATTTAATAGGTATGTATGTATTGAGAAAAGATCTGTTTTTAAAGAGCAGGGATTCAAATGCTTTGAGTGTTTGAAGCGTGTTTTATTTACTGATTATTGCACAAGGGAGTGTAGACATCTGGCTCAGAGCATCTGTTTACTCAGACACACACTGACCTGCTGTCAGGTTACTGTGACCTCCATACCAATAGACACTCATTAACCTTTCTTTGCTCACCTTTTTCACTTTTAAATATTCATACTTGCAGCAAAAGGACATTTTCCCGTGTGCCTGGCCTCTCACATTATGCTTAAAGTAATACTTCAACTCTACTGTGGAACACAAAAAAGATGGTTAGCAGAATAAACGATAAATAACAATTTTAATGTAAAATAATGTCAAATGCATGGTTTTGCAAGTAAAAAACTAATAAATTAATTTATGGTGAAAAGCAGCAAAAGGACATTCCCTGAAGTCCTTGCGTGATAGTTGTCATAATTAAAGATTGGTATATGAATGAAATCCAGTTATGAAACGTATGCAGTTATGAAATATAAAAATTTACAAGCACCAATATGCCATCCCGTAACAACGGCAAAACATTTTCACGATATGTTTTTCCACATCAACCACAGCTGCCGTTTTATTTTTAACTGTAAATTTGAAGTTGCAATTAAATGTACGTAGAGATCTTTTCTTCCGTATTGTGACGTACATCTGAGTTTAATGGATTTTTGAAAAAATGTTGGGCGGAGGCTTGGTTCTATGCGTCAGTTGTTGATTGGATGTTGAGATATGGGTGTGGCCTGTGAGCTTGCAGGGGCAGAGTTTAAAGGATTAGTTCACTTCCAGAATGAACATTCTGTCGTCATTTACTCACCCCCCACTTGTTCCAAACCTGTATGAGTTTCTTTCTTCTGTTGAACACAAAAGAAGATATTCTGAAAAATGTTGGTATCCGATCACCATTGACTTCCATAGTAGGAAAAAAAATACTATGGAAGTCAATGGTGCTCATCAACTATTTGGATACCAACATTTTTCAGAATATCTTCTTTTGTGTTCAACAGAAGAAAGAAACTCATACAGGTTTGGAACAAGTGGAGGGTGAGAAAATGATGACAGAATATTCATTCTGTAAGTGAACTACTCCTTTAAGCAGACTAACCAACGCTATCTCATGACTTATTGTATGTATCATGTATGTATTTTATGAGGTGGCTAATTCATACAAATTCGTATGACCTCACTTGTGCAATTTCTGTGAGGGGTAGGTTTAGGGACGGGGTTAGGTGTGGTCCTTTGTACGAATTCGTACAAACTAGCAACCTCGTAAAATATGTGCGAATTGCCGTGAGATTAGACTAACTGATTTAAGTCTTGTATACGCCATCAATGGGAAGTCCAGTTATGACATGTTACTTAACCATTACGTCAAAACATTTCATTTAATAATGAAACATCTACAGTTTGCATTTATAAAATAGATTGTCATTTATAAAAAATGTCATATTTGTGTGACAAATATGCCTTATGGAGAAACGTATCTTTCTGCCTGGCATATTATCAAACCACAGTCAGTCTTTTGGTTTGCTAAAAAAGGCTTTATGCAACCTCCCACACTCTAAACAACTTTGCGTTAATCCTTTGGCCTTTTGGCATCTCCCTTTTGATAAGCTTCATTTCAAATCTGTTACTTAGCAACCTGCACAGACATAATGTTACAGGACGCTGAAGGATAACTAATTATCACGGATGCATACATATCTATCTATCTATCATGACTGGCATAATGTCATGGCATACACTTCCCCTTCTGCAGTGCAGCTGATCTCTGATTGCATGCCATTATGCAATAGCAAATGTGCAGATTTGATCACGAAGCACCAGGCGGTGTGAGGTGTTCTCCGGGTTATTCATCTGCTGATGTGTGGTGAATGTGGGCGCATGTTTGCACGAGAGATGCTCCTGCCAGTCTGTTTCTGGGTTGCCATGGTGAGAAGGTCCCCCATCAGATGTACAGGGTGAAATTATGAGACCCAAAAGAGCATTTTTGCACCTGTCTCTCCTAATTTGGAACTGTCTAGCAGACAACAGTTGTATGACCGGTGAAATTATATTTACGTGAAAGCATATCCCACTTAGGAGTATTGGGGAAAAGAAGGCAAGACTTCAATGAAAGGAGAAAAATAATTTTTTTTGCAACCTTTATAATATAACAATTCCTTAGTTTGTTGGCCCAACCATGTTTATTTATTTATTTATCTTGGTAGCAGAACACCAAAACATTGAAACCCCCCCCCCCAAATAATACACATTCCTATTAAAGTGTCCGGAATGTAACAGTTTTGTTCATAAAAATGGGAAACCAAAATGTTAAAATAATACAAAATAAGTATGAATAATTAAATCATAATATTTTTTGTTATTAAATTCTTGTTAAAACATTATTTTATAAAGTTTATTTTTATTAATATTAATAAATCATTTTCATTAATATTGACATTGATATTGTTTTGCCATTATTATTATTACTACTATTATTATTACTACTACTGTTATTATTATTTCTGTCAGGAATGTAATTTTTTGTTCATAAAAATGGAAACCCAAACTGTTGAACTAAAGTTATACACAAATATTGTGATTTTATTAAAATTCCAACATTTTATTGTTGTCTCTTCAATTTATTTTGATTAATATTAATTGCATTATTTTCATTAAAGGGGTCATATGATGCTGCTAAAAAGAACATTATTTTGTGTATTTGGTGTAATGAAATGTGTTTATGCGGTTTAAAGTTCAAAAAACATTATTTTCCACATACTGTACATCATTGTTTCTCCTCTATGCCCCGCCTTTCTGAAACGCGTTGATTTTTACAAAGCTCATCGTTCTGAAAAGCGAGGTGTGCTCTGATTGGCCAACTATCTAGTGCGTTGTGATTGGCCGAATACCTCAAGCGTGTGACGGAAATGTTACGCCCCTTACCATACTGTGATGCCTTGTCCCGGCCGGAGCGACGAGACAAAAACATTAAAACCCATTATAAACGAGGCATTTGTTGCATCCAGTGGGGACATAATTACGGATTATAATGACTTATACTGTCTTTTTACGTGTTGCGTTGCATCGTAAAAATAAAACCATGTCTGCATTTGTGATCGAAGAAATTACAAACAACAAGCGCTACTTTACACTGCCCAAAACTCACGTTTGAATCATCAGTGGCAAATCCTTTAAATATGAAAACGTACTTACAGTAAAATGCGTTGCACACATCTGAATATTTGGGTTGAAGTGTTCTGGAACAGTATTGTAAATACAACTTAACCACTGATTTCTAGTCGTGTCCTCTTTTGGAAGGCCAAACAAAGTAGTTTCGCTTTCGCAACGAAACACACAGCGTCTTCACAATATGGCGACCGCCATATTAAAGTTAAGCCTTCTTTCTTTGCGTGAACATTTGGGCGGTGTTATGCAAATCTTCCCACACAGTGACGTAGACATGTGGGGGCGTGTTTAAATGAGGCGTTTTAGGAGGGCGTGGACCAGTCTTAACTTTTATAAAGGATATCTCTTTGGGTTTGAGACTTTAGTCTTTGCAACTTTAGGGATCTTATCTATTCATGAACAGCTTGTAACACTCCAAAGAGAAAGGAAAACTTGAAATCGCATCATATGACCCATTTAATATTCATTATTTTCATTATCAAATCATTCATTGATTAATATTAGCATTGCCAACATTACAATACGAATAAAAATATTAATATTTGATTGAATTTTAGTTTGATAATGTTAACCCCCTGCCCCCCGTCACCACAATAGTTTTTGTATTAAATGAATTATAAAAGATAAATCTTAATAAAATAAAAATATATATTAAAAAACATTTTCATATAAGTTTTAATGGCCAGACCCCCAGTCATTTGGTTTCACCAGAGAAATGACTAATAAAAAATTGTCTTCTACAGAGAATGAAAGTGAAAAAGTGTGCTTGATTGCAAGAGGGTAGAGGACAATTTGGTTTATAAAAAAAAATAAATAATTGACCTGACTCTCCCGTATTGGGAGACATGTGCTGGACATTGCAGGGGGGAAAGTAAACATGTCCATTCAGATCAACCTAACCTGGCACCTCTCCTTTGTAATGTTTGAGAGAAAAAGGGAGTGCAAGAGTGCAAACAGGGAATAAAGGTCTGAAGGACAATCTGAGCTTCCTTTTAGTCCAGACAGACGGAGACAGAAACACCTTCAACTGGAAAACAGGTATGTTTTGCTTTATATTTTTTAACAGGTGACTGTAGAGTTGAACTTTATACTTTTTGCCATCTCATTTCAGTACAATGCGAGTATGTGCACGTCGGCGTTCACGGACATTGCGCTTATGGCTGTTAATTGTCTTCCTGGGTCTGCACTTGCTCGTCGTTTCACTTGTCCTGTCCATATACCACACTTCTTGCGAGCTCCACTCATACCCTGACATCCAGACCTCCATCAG